CCACCACAGTACGACACACTGACAGATGAGTGGTGGATGTTGTCTGTAGACACTGTATCGCAACCTGAGATTTGAATTTTTTCTTCAGTCCTGGTGCTGTAGGATAAGCACTAGACCACAATGTTGGTTTTAACCACAAGGTTAGCAGTTCAAACACACCACATCTGCTCCTTGGAAACCCTATACAGGGTAGCCATGAATTGGAACTGACTTGACAGCATTCAACAGCAACTACATAACTTGAGAAATGCTGAGTGTTTTTCCCTTTTGGTTATCTAACTCAAGGTTTTCACACATTTCATAATAATGTTCTGCTTTGTATTCTCGAACTGCCCTTTGAAATGTTTCTGTTCAGCTCTTTTACTTCCTCATTTCTTCCATTTGATTTAGGATCTCTACGCTGGAGAAGGAGCTCTGGTAGTGTAGTGGTTATAAGTCAGGCTGCTAATCTCAAGGTCAGCAGTTTGAAACTACCAGCTGTTCCACAGGAGTAAGATTAGGCTTTCTGCTCCCATAAAGATTTACAGCCTCAGAAACTCTATGTAGGGTTACTGTGAGTTGGAATCAACTCCGTGGCACATAACCAAACAACCAACCAAGCTGGAGTGCAAGTTTCAGGGTTTCTTCTGACATCCATTTTGGTCCTTTCTTTCTTTACTCTTGTTAATAATCTTTTGCTTTTTTCATGTATGTTGTTCTTAATGTCACCCTCAATTTTTCTGGTCTTCCATCATTGGTGCCTAATACATCAAATTTGTTCTTGAGATAGTCTCTAAATTCCGATGGAATATATTCAAATTATATTTTGGCTCTGGTGCTTTTGTTTTCAATTTCTTCAGCTTTAAACTCAGCTTGCATTGTGAGCAATTGATGATCTGTTCCACATTTGCATCCTTGTCTTGTTTTGGCAGATGATATTAAGTTTCCCCATTGTCTCTTCCTACAGATCCAGTCAGTTTAAGTCCTATGTATTCCAGCTGGTGAGATCACCTGTATAGTCACTATTAATGTTGTTTAAAAAAACGTATATGCTATTAATATGTCATTGGTCTTACAAATTCTATTATGCAATTTCCAGCGTTGTTTCTGTCTCCAACAACATACTTTCCAACTGCTGATCCTTTCACTTTGTTTCCAACTTTTGCGTTACAATCACCAGTAGTTGCCAGAGCATCTTGATTGCAAGTTTGATAAATTTCAGACTGAAGAAGTTGGTAGAATTCTTCAAGCTCATCATTACTAGCTTTAGTGGTTGGTGTGTAAATTTGAATCACAGTGGCATTAACTGGTTTTTCTTGTTCACGTATGGTTATTATCCTGTCACAGACAGCATTGTACTTCAACTTAAATCTTGAGATGTTCTTTTTGATGATGACTGTGACACTATTATGCTTCAATTTGTTCTTCCTGACATAGTAAACCTTATGATTGTTGAATTCAAAATGGCCTATGCCAGTCCATTTCGGTTCACTAATATCTAGAATATGGATCGTTATACATTCCATTTCATTTTGACAACTTATAGTTTTCCTAGATTCATGCTTCATATATTCCATGTTCTGATTATTAGTGGATGTTTGCAGCTATTTCTTCTCATTTTCAGATGTGCTATATTGGCAAATTAAGTTCCTGAAAGCTCAGTTCATCCACATTCACTGTAGCCAAGTCTGCTTTGAGGAGGCAGTTTTTTCCTAGCTGTATTTTGAGCACCTTCCGAGCTGAAAGATTCATCTTTTGGCAATATTACTTAACAGTGTTCCACTGCTATTCATAAGATTTTCAGTGGCTAAGGCCTGGAGGATCAGTACTGAACTGCAAACCACAGGGTCAGTGGTTCAAACCTACCAGCTGCTCCTTGGAAATCCTACACAGGGTTACTGTGAGTCGGAACCGACTCAACAGCACTTAACAACAACCATTCAAAAGTGGTCTGCCTCTCCTTCCCAGTTTGTCTTAGTCTGGAAGTTAAGTATCTAACAACCCTGCTGGTATTTAAAATACCAGTGGCATAGCTTCCAGCATCACAGCAACATTTAAACAACCACAATATGACAAATTGACAGATGATTGGTGGTTGTTGTATAGTATAACTTGAGGGACGTTTTGTGACCTGTGAGACAGGTTTCTCCCACCAACATTTTCAGCTTCTCAAATTTCTTAGGAAGCTGTATCTGCTGCTGATTGTCAGAGACCTGCACAACTGTGTGAATATGAAGACAACAGGCCTCACCTCACTCTTCCAGTTCTACAGTGTCCATTTTGGGGACGTATTGTATCAAAAACCGTATTACCTGAAAAAAAACTGTTATTTCCCTTATGTCAGCATGCCAACCATTATTGAAAACAAATAGTATTAGCAAAAAGTTCAAAGCATCCTCCTCCCTCAGATTGTGTTTACTCTTCCTAGGAAGCCTCTGTTTGGCCTTAAATGTGTCGCTCCATGTCTTCATGTCTCTTGGGCTAAACTGTGAACTTCTAGAGGGCAAGGACAGCACCTTGATCATTTCTCTCCAGCTCAGTGCCGTGTACAAAGCGGACCCTCAGCTCCTAACTCTGATGCTGTGCTCTTTACCATTGGGTTGATTCCAACCCCACATGTGTCAGAGTACAGTTCCACAATATAAAGTTTTCCATTGCTGTACTATTTAAGAAACAGGCTGCCAGACCTTTCTTCTGAGGTGCTGCTGGGTGCATTTAAACAGCTAACCTTATGGTTGGTAGCTGAGTAGATAACTATTTCTACCACCCAACGATTCTCATAAGGCTCTTCTAACCTGGGAGGTCAGAGAGTAATCAGCCAGAGACTAAACATTCAGTTGCCTCACCCCTGTAAATGGTTATGGGGAGCAGTTAGATTCTCTATGGCCCAGATATGGCAGTGGAGACACCCACAAGCTGAAGATCCTGTTACCCTAACTCTTCCACATGGATCCTTGTTAGTGCAGCCAATCCTACTTTCATGTATTGAATCCAATCCATTTACCACATCGATAACCTCTGCAGAAATACATTCAAAGCAGAAAGGGCCAGTGGTTAATTGTGGACTCTGGACCCACATTCCATAGACTCAAGCTTTATCTCTTACTTAGCTTTCTGTGTTTCTATTTCCCCATCTATAAAATATTAGCAACCTGACAAAGCTGTTGACATAAAGAAGAATCTTTTAAACAGTGTTTAGTACATACTAAGATACATTTAAATATATATGTGTGTGTGTGTGTGTGTGTGTGTGTGTAATATAACGGTCCTGGTGTAGCACTATAGTATAAGCACTGGACTGCTAACAGCAAGGTTTGCAGTTCAAACCCACTAGCCGCTCCTCAGCAACCCTATACAGGTTCACTATAAGCCAGAACTAACTCAACGGCACTTAACAGCAGCAGAAACCAAGACACATGTATTTACGTGTTGTTGTCATTAGAAGTCCTGGGGTGGCTCTGTAGGATAAGCATTGGACTGCTAACCAAAGGTTGACTGTTCCAGCCTACCAGCCGCTCCTTGGAAACCCTATACTGGGTCTCTGTGATATGTATGATCATAATAACAGCATAAACCAGACAACCAAACTCACTGCCATGGAGTCACTTTTGACTCATAGCAACCCTTCATAGAATTTCTAAGACTGTCAAGTAGACAGCTTTTATCTTTCTCCCACAGAGTGGCTGGTGGTTTCTGGCATATTTGTTGCTGAATGTTAAGATTGGTGGTTTATAGCATACATGTTGTTACATATATGTGGAATGAAGAAAATGAATGTTAGCGACCCTCTGCAAGGTTGCTTTGAGTCGGAACTAACTCGAGGGCATTTCACAACAAAGACAGTTGTGGGGCTCTGAAGTTTAATAAGGAGCTCTGTTACCGTAGTGGTTAAGAGTCGGGCTGCTAACCTCAAGGTCAGCAGTTCAAAACTACCAGCCGTTCCATGGGAGAAAGATGAGGTTTTCTGCTCCCATAAAAATTTACAGCCTTGTAAACCCTATGTAGGGTCACTCTGAGTCAGAATCAACTCCAGGGCACACCCCTACCACCAAGAGTCTACTATCTTCTGCTACCGTTTTTTAGTCCATTTGTGTTAAGCCTGAAGCATCCCTGCCTTCTGCTGTTTTTCTGAACCCCTCTAGGTTTATTATTAACTTGTCTTGCAATTTTGGTATAATGAGTAAATAAATATTGTTCTTGTACTCTAAATAAGACATTGGCAGATGCAGTACTGATGGTATCCATCCTTCACTGATATTTTATATTTGAAGGAATGTTGTTGCTGTTAAGTGCCTTCAGGTGATCTGTTTTCTGAATTATAGCAACCCAGTATAGGGCTTCTAGTCTTTGCAGGAGTAGAGAGCCTCATCTTTCTCCCACATAGCAGCTGGTGGGCTCAAACTGCCAACTGTGTGGTTCACAGTCCAGTGCTTATCATATGGAGCCACTGTGCTCCCACTTGAAGGACTAGCCCTTAATTAATTTGTCATAGTCGCTTTCCTGTGCCTCACTCCTCCAAATACATTATTCTTAATTTTTGAAGTCCTTTTCTAACTGTTGTAAAGTCTGTTCTGGACATAAGGCTTCATTTAAAAATACTGACACATAATGTATACATTATGTATGTATGTATACATACACATTAGTTTTTACATTTCATGTTTGGAAGATTGCTATTAAGAATGATAGCACGAGTGATGCCTGAGATGGAGGCAGAGACAATGACGTGGAGAGATGGAGCAGTTGGGGACTTTAGACACAGAGATGGAGAGGGGCTGTGTGCTGACGACAGGGGGGCAGGCTTGTAGTGTATACCCTTTGATTGGTTGATGATGCATGGAGGGGATTATAACCAATGAAACAATACACGATAGGATGAATGTAAAACTAATGTTCTCCCATGTAAACTATCACATAATTTACAATAAAACATTTTAAAAAATGATAGCACGAGTTATATAAAATATTTTAAAGCTACAACATTATATTAGTATCATGTTTTGTTTCTTACTGCTTTGCAGGTAGATATAAATATAAAATTATGGAAAAATGGATTCACAGTCAATGATGATTTCAGAAGTTATTCTGATGGTGCAAGTCAGCAGTTTCTGAACTCCATCAAAAAGGGGTGAGTAATCATTGTAAACAGGAGCATATTTCATATAGAAGAATCCTTTCTTATATTCATAGAGCTCAACTTGCATATGAGCAATCGAGGTCTGCCCTGGCCTTGTTTTGGCTGATGATATGGAGCTTTTCCATCATCTCTTTCCACAGATATAGTCAATTTGATTTCTGTGTATTCTATTTGGTGAGGTCCATGTGTATAGTCGTCTTTTAGTTTTAAAAAGGTATTTGCAATGAAGAAATCATTGGTCTTGCAAAGTCTATCATGAGATCTCCAGCACCATTTCTATCATCAAGGCCTCATTTTCCAACTACTGATCCTTCCTCTTGGTTTCCAACCTTTGTATTCCAATCATCAGTATTTATCAATATATCTTGATTGTTTGTTGGATCAATTTCAGGCTGAAAAAGTTGATAGAATTCTTAAATTTTGTCATCACCCACTATAGTGGTTATTGCATACATTTGAAAAATAGTGGTATTAACTGGTCTTCCTTGTAGGCATTTGGATACTATCCTATCACAGACAACATTGTATTTCAAAGTCGTGAAATACTCTTTTTGATGATGATTATGTCACTTTTCACCTTCAGTTGGTCATTCTCGGTATGTTGTTGTTGTTAAGTGCCATCGAGTCGATTCCGACCCATAGTGACCCTGTGTAAGGTTTCCAAGGAGTAGCTGGTGAGCTTGAACTGCCAACCTTGCAGTTCAAATGGCTTTGCAGTCTGGCGTATTAATCCACAGCACCACACAAATTCAGAATGGCCAATTCTAGTCAATTTCTGCTCACTAATGCCTAGAATGGACTCCTGGTGTGGCGCTGTAGGATCAGTACTGGACTGTGAGCCACAGGGTCAATGGTTCAAACCCACCAGCTACTCTATGGAAACACTATACTGGGTCGCTATGAGTCAGAACCGACTTGACAGCACTTAACAAAGCCTAGAATTTTTTATGCATTCCATTTCATTTTTAACAAATTCAAGTTTTCCTAGCTTCATAGTTCATAGATCTCATGTTGTAATTAATGATAGATGCTTGCATTTGTTTCTCCTCATTTTTACTTATGCCATATCAGCAAATGAAAGTTCCAAAAGCTTTACTCCATTTTGTCAATACAGTCAACTCTACTTTGAGGAGGCAGCTCTTCCCCAGTCATATTTTGAGTTCCTTCCAACCTGAGGGGCTCAGCTAAAAGCACTGTATCTCACAGTATCCTGGTGCTGTTCATAATGTTTCAGTATTCAATATATTGGTGCTGCCTGACAGTGTTCCACTGCTATTCATAAGGTTTTCAGTGACTAAACATTCGGAAGTAGTCCACCTCTCTCTTCTCCTAGTCTCTCTTGTTCTGGAAGCGCTGGTGAAACTTGTCCACCATGGGCAACCCTACTGACATTCAAAATTCCAGTACCATAACTTCTAGCATCACAGCAACACACAAGCCAGTACAGTATGACAAACTAATAGACAAGTGGTGGTCAAAAGTCCATAACATACAACGAGTATTTCTTCTACCCCTGGTATATACCATACACTATTCCTGAAATTGGACCGTGTTTGTGATCAGCAGAGGTATAATTCCAGCATTCTTGGTCCTTACATTATTCAAAAGAGAGGCATCAATGTACACTACACACACCTCCTGTTTGGAGGTCAAGTCCTAACTATATTACTTTAATTTCTTTGATAAGAGGATGAAATGTGGAAATAATTTTTTAAAAAATTTTTGATGCTTTTTACTTTTGTTGTTTCTTAGAGTAGATGTCTATTTTCATTCAAAAATTGAAATGAGAGTTTGATAATTTGGTAGCACTTTTAAGTCCTATTTTGGCACCTATAAAGGTCATTCTTTAAATTTAGCAGTGTATAGTTATCAAATATTTATGGTTGTGTTGCTGCTAGAAAACTCATCTATGCATGAATTTATAGTCATAAAAATTACTCTTTGAGTGTTGAATATTATTTAATTATTGTTACTTTTTAAATTAAAACTTTTTTAATGGTGTGGACTCTTTATTTCTCAGCATTATCCAGTTCTTCCTTTGCCTATTTAATATGTTTTTCAAAGAAAGAGAAGATATACTAGAAACTTCACTTTTATTCATTTTTATTTTCTTTCAAGGGAATTACCTTTAGAATTAGAGGGGATTTTTGATAAAGAAGAGGTAGATGTTAAAGTTGAAGATAAGAAGAATGAAGTATTTGTGTCAACAAAGCCTGTCTTCCAGCCCTTCTCAGGACAGGGTCACAGATTGGGAAGGTGAGTAGGCTCATCTGTGTAGACTGTATGTGTAGAGCTTAACTCTTCTTCATTGGGAGTAAGATTATGTTCACTTTTATGAGTGCTCATAAGTCATATTTGTTAAGTGTCATTGAGTCAGTTCCTACCCATAGGATTTCCACAGAGCAGTAGGTGGGTTTGAACCACCAACCTTGTGGTTGGCAGTCCAGTGCTTATCCTACAGCGCCACACTTGGATTCCCAAGTCATATTTACCTTAGTGTAAATTATTATATGCTAGCAGTGGCTGCAGGATAATGCACTGGGCCACAAAATTGGTTTGAACCAAAAGGTAGGCAGTTCAAGCTCACCATCCATTCCTATACAGGGTCACTATGAGTGAGAACCAACTCGACAGCACTTCACAACAACAATAACAAGCATTGCACTATAAAATCATGGAGGCCTTTTAGTTTCATCAAATTATAATGGTTTATCAGGGACATAAGCAGTATTGGTTGAATAAATCCTTTTCTTGCCCTTATACCAGCCACTTAAGCTTTTCTAATGATTTTGCTGAGTATATATCCTTGTTTAATTATTAGGGGTATCTCCATATAGGGAAGAAACAATAGTGATGAGAGTTGAAGATGCTTAGATTCAATTGGTCCAAAAGACTGATGGTACATGTAGACATCAGTCTCCATAACTCTGACACCAGAAGAGCTAGATGGTGCCCGGCTGCTACTACCAACTGGTCTGAAAAGGATCACATTAAAAGGTCCTGGATGTGGAATAGGAGAAAATGTGGGGCAAAGCTCAAAATTATTTTAAAAAACAAAGAGACTGGAGGAACCCGAGACTGTGGCCCTTGACCACCCTTCAGGTCTGGAAAGGTGGCCCAGTTTTCAGCCAAGCAGTTGATAGGTATATAGGAGGGACAGCCACACTAGTAAGGTATGTTCACCATGGAATCATTAATCATTCAAAATCAAAAGGTCAGCTTTTACCTAAGGACAGAATTGAGAAGGGATGGGAAGGAGGTGGAATGGAAATAGGGACCACAGGGAGGAAGTCAGATAACTTTTGTTGCATGCAGGGGATTGCAATCATTGAGATTAAACAAAGGGTATGATTTGTTGAATGTAAAACTGATGATCTTGTCTGTAAACCTTTACTTAATTCAAAATTAAATGTTTAAAAATAAATAAATAACCTCCATATACTTGCAATACTCCATTTGTGTAGTTAGTATACCAATATGCTGTGAGTGTGTGTGTGTGACACACAGAGATACAACATTGAAGCTATAATGTTCTCATATAAGTTCATCACATAAGCTATGCTTATAGTCTGCATAATCTTAATTTCCAAAATTCATTATTAATGCAAGGTTAAAATAGTTTTTAATATTTTATGTATATGTTCTTATTTAATAAAATTTTGTTTTTGTATTGGTAAGTACCATCAAGTTGGTTCTGACTCATAGCGACCCTGTATAGGGTTTTGGAAGAGTAGCAGTTGAGTTTGAACCACCTACCTTACAGTTCAAACCAACCTTGCTGTCTGGTGCTTATCATACAGTGCCATAAATTTACAGGAGTCATATTCCTCATAGTTTTGGATTCTTGTTTAATACTTGAGCAGATTTGAAGAAACCTGATAGAAACAATGTTGTCAATGCTTTGTGATGTTTAAGCCTTAAAAAGCATTGTAAATACTATAGTTATGTATTTGCCTTTGACTATTTCAATTTATATCCCTACTTGTTTTTGGTCCTTTATACTGAGAAAATAATTGATGATTTTCATTTTAAGAAACTTGCTATCAAGTTTCTGTGATGTAATAGGCAATTCAGTTTAAAGAGAATGAATCTTTAAATATATATGCTTATATCACCAACACAATTGTTTTGTCAAAACACAATAATTAGTTACAACTACTTTTTTAGTCTATAACCCCACCCAGTTATTTTCTGGAGTTAAAATTTCATTGATTTCTTCCCATGATATCACCCTTGCCCCTTTTTACTGAAATCTTTTGCTTTAGTTACTGAAATTGCTTTTTTTCAGTATATTAATATGACAGAAACTTTAATACAAACATTTTAATAATGTATGACAATTTGATTGGCATTTGAAAGCTCTGTACTAAATTTGAGTTTTATAAGCTTAAACTGTGCTTAGTTTTTATTTTTAGGCTTCTATAAATTATCTGTATAAAATTTTGTATGTTTTTCTAAAGTATTATTTGGAAACACTAATATTTTACTTTCAGAGCCATGTATCAAAGCATTGCAACTGTCTAGAATATAGCTAAAATCACCAAAATAAAGCTAACCAGCTCAGAGAAGCCCAAAACTATGCTCTAAAGCTCATGTTCTTTATTCCTTGAACAACCATTTTAGACATCATTAGGAATTGCTTTTATTTTTTTCACTCAGTTTTGTTGTTACTGTTTTTACTGTTATGTACCATCAAGTCGGTTCCAACTCATAGCGACCCCGTATAGGGTTTCCAAAGAGCAGCTGGTGAGTTTGAGCTGCTGACCTTGTGGTCGAGTGAATATCCTACTAGATGCTAGTTTTTCATCTAACTACAGATAAGACCCAGCAAATCAGAAATAGAAGGGAAATTGCTTATGTATGAGACCAAGGTGCCTACCCTGCTTTTGATGATATACATTGACACTATAATTAACATAAAAATGACTAGATTCTGTTTTATATTCTCTGTTTAATACAGATGTATGTAAAACAATTTAGATTCTTATCTTTGGCATATAAAAATCTAATCTTAAAAACTTACTAATGGATGAATTTAAATTTACATAAATTTACAGTGATACATATATAAAATTATATATATATTATATATAAATAAAATAATTCAGTAAAAATTTAAGTGCTATCACTTATGAGGCACTATTTTAGATATTTTCTGTTGGTCCATCTAACTGCTTCCTGCTCTTTTAAGTCACAGCACTTAGTAGTTACTGCAGAGTTATTCTAACTCATGGCAACCCCAAGTTTGTAAAGTAGAATTGCTTCATAGGTTCTCAAGAAGGTAAATTGACCTAGTCTTTCAGAAGCAGATTTTCAGACCTGCCCACCAGGGTACCTTCAAATGGATTCAAACTACCAACCTTTCAGGTTGTTGTTTTTGAGTGCCATCAAGTTAGTTCCAACTTACAGCAACCCCATATAGGGTTTCCAAGGAGCACCTGGTGGGTTTGAACCACTGACCTTGTTATCAGTCTAGTACTTATCATGCAGCATCACCTGTAGTGGAGCACTTAGCATTTTGTGGCACCCAGAGTAGGGTAGTGGTTACGAATCGGGCTGCTAACCTCAAGGTCAGCAGTTCGAAACTACCAGCCATTCCGTAGGAGAAAGATGAGGCTTTCTGCTCCTATAAAGATTTATAGCCTCGGAAACCCTGTACAGGGTCATTATGAGTTGGAACCAACTCCATGGTACTTAACAACAACCCCCATTTCTGGCAATATACTTTCAGTGTAATTAAATTCAGTCATTTATTATTCAGTTTAATATGTATTCATTGCCTATGTATACATGCCAAACATTGTGTTGTCCATACTGTTGTTAAGTGTGGTGAAGTTGGATTTGACACATTGTGCAACCCTGTGTAGGGTTCTGACTCATAGCAGCCCCTGTATAGGGTTTCCAAAGAGCGGTGGGTGAGTTTGAACCACCAACCTTATGGTTCAAATGATCTTGCAGTTCAGTGTATCAGTTTCATAAACTGTATAGGATTTCCAAGGAATGGCTGATGGGTTTGAAATGCCGACCTTTTGGTTAGCAGTCTAGTGCTTATTCTACATAGCCACACCATTGCCTCCTGGTAAAGTAGAGAGTGAATGAAAAAGAGGGTGACCAGTGAGATGAATTGGCATGGTGGCTGCAACTGTAGGGTCAAACGTAGTAACTGTGAGGATGGCACAGGACCAGACAGTGAGTATTTCATTCTATTGTATTTAATTAAAAACTTTTAGCGGTCTGCATTGTTATGATAGATTTAGGATAAAATTTCTTTTCAACTTTTTAGTAGGTCTCTTTTCATCTGTATTTATTATTTACAGTTGTTCTCAGGGGCGGGGGAGGGGAAAACTCCATCTTGATGTATGTAAATACTATAGAACTCATTATTAAATCTTAAAACAGAATTAAAGACAAGACAAAAATAAACAGATCACCATGGTGCAGGCAATCATCGCTGTGACACCATGGTGAATTCTAAAGTTCTGTCTCCAAGAGGTGACCTTTTACAGGGCACATAAGCATGCCGGACCTATGGAAGCTATACATAGCAACTCTGTAAATCGTTTCTGTGGAGTGAGTGGTGGGTTTGAACTGCTGACCTTATAGTTAGCAGTCCAGTGCTTAACCTACAGCACTATACCAGGACTCAGAGCAGGGAGTTGACTGTTGTAAATAGGAGAACTTATAGATTGTCTCTGAGGGTCTAGTGGAAAGACATCAGACCAGGTGACTATTAAGGGGTTCATGCTCAGGAAAGCTCCAAGAAGGGAGTATTGCTTATTCCTGAGCTGGCTGAAGGAAGTGGCCTAAAACTCACTTTCAGGTGCATTGTTTCTAACTGGCAGTTCAACTGTTAGGTGCAGTAATTCACAGGTAAAATGTTTTCAGATTTTTTCTCTAAAGCACAGTATTTATATTTATATATCTCAGTTTTACTATGAGTACGTTTTTTCTAGATTCCAATACGTGAATTCATGATTTATAAAAGGCTTCACACAGCTATTGCTATTGTTGTTAGTTGTTGAATATACTTAATGTAAAAATTTGTATAGTAATTGTTTAATGGCACAGTTCTGCTCAATGGAAAAACATGTGTCTGCTTTTGTTTTTTGGGCTTTCTTAGTGCCACACCAAAAATTGTTTCCAAAGCTAAGAGTACTGAAGTTGAGAATAAAAGCAATTTGTCTGCTGTCCCATTAAATAGTTTGGAACCCATCACTAACATCCAAATCTGGTTAGCCAATGGGAAAAGGATTGTCCAGAAATTTAACATTTCTCATAGGTGAGTTTTCCATTTCAATACTTATCTGATTGTTTTCCAAGTTTAAACTTAATTTTTTTTTTCAGTTTAGTTTAAAGTTGCTTTTAAAAATTAACTAAGAGTTTTAATAAACAGTTCTCTAAACATAATGCATCAAGACAATGTAAATTCTTAGAGAGTATTAAAATATTTCAGTCTGCGATTAATTTTTCAGCTGTGTAAGTTTTAAATAATTATTTTTAAATGTTTTATTCTTACTTTAGCATTTTATGTTAATTATAGAAAATGAAGTAAATTACTGTAAGCAACTGCAGTTACTTTAAATTCCAACACACAAGATAATCACTTTTATCAGTTTAATGTATTTTTCCAGTATTTTGTCACTTCATGTTTTTTACAAAATGTAACCGAAAGTAAGTATATGGTTTTCCCTCTGAAAGGTATTTTTTTCATCATTTGGGAGAAATGTTAAAGTATCAATATATGTGTTAAAAATCATAAAAATGAAATTTATACGTAAGATTTACTCTGAACAGTTATTTTATATTCATTTATCAGAGCCAAACCACTGCTGCTGAATTGTTTCAGACTCATAGTGATCCTATAGAAAAGAGTAGAATGGCCCCATAGGTTTCCCGAGGCTGTAAATCTTTATGGAAGATCACTACCACATCTTTCTCCCATGGAGTTGCTGGTAGGTTCAAACTACCAACCCGAGCACTTAACCATCACTCTAATAATCCTCCTTGTATAAAGAAAAGAGGAGGGAGAAATACAAGTAGTCTCCCACTTAAAACATATTTTAGTTGCAATGAACCACACTTGATGCCATCCAGTTTTGCTTTTTGTACATTTTATCATTAATAAGGAGTCCTGGTGTGGCACTGTGGGCTAATGCGCTAGACTGCAAAGTTGTTTTGAACCACAAAGTTGGCAGTTCAAGCTGTTCCTTGGAAACCCTATGCAGGGTAGCTATAGGTAGTAACCGACTCAGTGACACTTAACAACAACAACAACATCATCCATAAAATGTTGCAGTATGTAATTTGCTAATGTTAACCATTTTCAGACGTTCAGTTTTTTTATTTACTATTCAAAACTGTAAGATTTATGCTCTTATTGTTGTGTGATACCATCTAGCTGGTTCTGACTCATAGAAAACCTCTGTACAACAGAATGAGACACTGCCTGGTTCTGTGCCAACCTCACAATTGTTGTTACACTTGAGCCCATTGCTGCTGCCACTGTGCCAGTTCATCTCATTGGGGGGTCTTCCTCTTTTTTACAATGCCCTCTACTTTACCAAGTATGATGTCCTTCTCCA